ATTTCGGATTTGTTTCGTTAAATACCATGAACGACAGTTTGGTCTGTTTTCATACCATGCAGCAAGATTTTGAGAATTATCAATATGTTATAATATACAGTGAATTCGCGATAACTCGAATCTGATAGGACTGACGAAAAACTTCGACATATCGGAAGTTCGACTTACCGTTAGTTTCGGTTTTGGACTTTCAAAATATTGTCGGATTATTTAATTAATGCTTATTAATTACAAATCTTCTAAATGCTTACAATATTTAACATCATTTTTCCGACAAGCCATTTACGATAAGACTGTTTGAAGCACTTTATGATACCCTGGTCCATCGGCTGCAACTTTGCTGTTGTGTTTGGCGGGAGAAACTGCAAGTTTACTGCTTTCAAATTAGGTAGATCACTATGCGTTGTGCATTTATCCATAAAGAGTATCACTTTTCCTTTTTTAGCGTAGAATTTCCAATCCAATTTTCTTAAATAGTCTTCAAATGAAACTGATGTCATCCAAAACTTTTTGTTAGACTTGTAATCCAAAGGATACGTTTTTACATTCTTGAAACATTCTTCGTTTTTCATTCTCTTTACATTCGGTATTTTCCGATAACAACTAAGGGCAATTTCTCTGTCCCAGACGCATTTCCTAGGACAGTCAAACGTTCCTTGCTCATTTAACCCCATGAGCAGTTTTCATTCTTAAACATCATAGTCTTATTTGGAAGACATTTAAAAAATAAACCCATTTCTTCAATATTGAAAACATCATTTTAACTGTATCCTTTAAGTAAATTTGGTAACGTTTCATTTAACCATTGTTCACATACTTCAAAAGGGACAGCTTTAGCTTCTCCATGAAGAGTGCGAAAGAGATTGTGTGTGTGTTGCAAAGGAAGGGGCAAGATATCAGCTCCTAGGGTTTTTTTTTTGCTTTAAAAGATTTTAAAAAAATCGAGTTAAAGGGAGTAAAGCTCGAGTAATCGAGAATAATTAACATGAAATTGAAGATAAAAGGGTCGGGACCTCATAAAAAAATCGAGTTATAGTAATATTCGAGTTATCGTACTTCGAGTTATAGCGAATTAACTGTATTTTCAAAACTGAAATATTGTTTAATTTTATATAGTCAAAGAAATTGTTTAATTTAACTTTTAACGCATGTATTTGTCCAGTCAATATCCGTTATAGCTTCTGTCATGCAACATATATATAAATACACTGAAGAGCCATTACATTATGACCACCCTCCATCTATAACAATGGGCTCGCCCAGGTTTTCATGGTTTCTCGCCCAGGAACAATGTTTTCATGGGGCACATTAGGACCCATAATCCTCATAGAACAATCCCTGACGTCTGTAAGCTACTTGAACATAGTTGCAGACCAGGTTCACCCATTCATGGCAACAGTTTTTCCTGCGGGGGATGGTGTTTACCAACAGGATAATGCACCATGTCATAAGGGTCGAATCGTCATGGATTGGTTCGAGGAACATTCCAGTGACTTTCAAGTCATGTCTTGGCCCCAAATTCACCTGACCTTAATCCAATAGAGCATTTGTGGTCCTACTTGGAAAACCAAATTCGTGCTGCCACGCCACCCCCTCGCAATGTGAGGGAATGGTACCAGATACCTCAGACTACCTATCAGCACCTTGTGTCATCAATGCCAAGGCGGGTGCTAGCAATTTTGAGGGCTAAAGGTGGTTATTAGCAGGGTGGTCATAATGTAATGGCTCTCCGATGTATATATAAAATCAGCCAAAGGTACATACCTCGTACCGCGTAGTTTCATAGAAAGATAGTTTTTTTCATTAAAAAAAAATCTGTTAAACTAACCATAATTCTACATAAAAAAAATATTTGATAAAAAGATAACACATTTATAGCTAGTTTTCTATTTGTATTGTTTCTTCAAAATACATTTATTTCAGAGTTATTAAGAATCCTATATGTCACTATAAGTTCAATCACGATTAATTTTTAATTTGAGATATCGAATTATGGATTTAATGCGGAGAAAAGCAAATAATTTTTATTTTAAAAAAAATTAATTCATATTCAAAATAATTTACATAAGCGCAAATAATTTAATAAATTTACATAATCAAAATAATTTACATAAGTGAGAAAAAGAAAACGCAACTTCCAATCGATAAAAACCAACAGAGAACAAAATAATAATTACAAATGAAGATTTAGTTTTCCCTTAGAAAAACATTGTATTTAAAATCATAGAAACATTTCTAATAAAACATTAAAAAAAATTGTTTTCTTTTTTTGTTTTTGATGAAACAAGTGAAATAAGAACTCTTTTTATACCTTTACAGTGTATATTTGCACTGTGTACTTTTTATACCGTAAATTAAGTATTCCTTTACTTATTATTTGTAAGAGCGTTTATAATAAAGCGTTAGAAATTAGAAACTTTTTGCCCTTGCAGGGACAATTGTGAGCCCAACTCAAAAATCCTGGAAATTTCTTGAGAAAAATCATTCACATCTTTATAAATTTAAATCATTGATATTTTCACAACGTGAAATTCTATATAAATTATATGCAGCATAATTTAAATGAATAGTTACTTATAAGTTTACTACTTTTATCTCTAATCACATTTATTATTCTACCAGAAAAAATATTTACATATGAAAGAGATGCCAAGTGTAAATTCTAGTTCTAATATTTTTAAATAAAATGTACAAGAATTTTTATACATAAATGTGATCGATGATTTCTTGAAACTTCTGAACTTTGGATTTCCGGAAACTTACGGATCGCGGTTAGCGAAAAATCTGGAAATCCGGATTTTTTCCGGAGCACAATTACCCCTGCTCTTGTACTGAAATGCTATTTTTACTTAGAATAATATAACTTAGAAGAAAGTTAACTCATAAATACGTCAATAAATTTTACTTTTAATTATTGCATGAAGAAGTGATATATTTTAATTATTAGAATCTTTATATAGTAAATATTTTTATAGTGTGCTTTTTTTCACACTTTGATCATGAAATAAAATTCCCCGAACTGTAATAAGATTTATATGCCATAAAACTGACCTAAACTTTCTTTGAATCAAACTTATCTTTCTCATAACTTTTCATTATAACTAAAAACTCCGATCAGCAAAGTTAATATATTTTTGCACAGTCAATCGCTTTATAAGAGAAAACAGGAAAAAAAATATTAAGGTGATAAAAATTATACCAAATGTTGTCCAAAGCACATTAAACCATTACTTACTATTTATCTGAAAATATGTAAAAGAATTTCCCAGAATCACAATAGCTAATATATTTTTATCATCAAGGTTGATAATAAAGGTTAATAAATAATGTTGTTAAAAACAAGATGTTTTGCTAGCTTGTTTTAAACTTAAGTATCGTATATTTTAAAATAATTTTAAAAACAAATAAATAACGTTCGGTTGTACATAGCTGTTAAGTACTCGATACGAATTAATTTTAACTATTTTGGAAACGTTCTAAAATTTAAACAAACCGTAGTTGCGTATAACTATAATTTTATGGTATTCAATAAAAATTTTCTCAATTTCTTTATTTTTTTAAATTCGCTTTGTCATTTTAAATTAGCTTAACTTCAAAACTTATCCTCAAGTTTTTATAATAAGTTCTTTTATGTTTCGATTGGTGTGTGCAATATGTCATTTATTGTTTTAATATGAATTAAATAATTTTTAATTGTTTAAATATATTTAGTTGTATTTAAAAAATTTCACCCCCTACCCCAGAAAAAAATTTCTCATTTACTGAAAAACATACTTTTTTGGCAATGTTTTTAAATATTTTGCTCGATGTCGGTCCCTTTAAGCTTTAGCCTCTTGGACCCTTATATAATCCATAACTTAAAAAACAATTATTAATATTAATTTATAGATTTTGTTCTCCGTCGTATATAGGTTGAAATAAATAAATCCCTACATTAGTGTTCCCCAACCCCCGGTCCGTGGATCAAGTGTTACCGGGCCGCTCATTTCATTGAAACTGAATTTAAATTCCTAGGTTTATACCCCAAAATAAAAATATCTGTGTTCCATTAAAATTTTATTTATTTAAAAAAATAGAGGCCCCCGAAGGTAATGACATAAATTTTTTAATGTTAGTAATGTATCATTGTCTCCGATTATCCCCAGATGGAACCGTCTCATTGCAAAGAAACAAGCTCAGGGTTCTCACTGATTTAACGTTCTTAGAAGTTAAAATGTTAAATCCCTTTAAATTTATTTTTTGGTGTAACTGTATTTTATTTTGAAGGCATGTTTAAATACAATTCAATCAAAATAATATAAAAAATCAATGTCCGCCCCCAGTGGGCTACGGAAAAATTATCAAACGTTGACAGGTCCGCGGTGATAAAAAGGTTCTTACATCATAAACTTCGTGATCTTAATGTTTTTTTTTTTTTTTTTTGACTTAATAATTTGTGATATTACTTCAAATATATTTCATTTAATAAAAAAAACCTTTGTTATGTTATAGTTGTTTGTTTTTTTGACACAACTGTAAACGTAAGAGAGAGATGGTTAATAACTGCCCTGCAATATATTCATTCACGTATTTCTGTAAAAAATGAAGTAAAAATAAATCAAGCACTTTAAGTAGCAAATTAAAATACTAGTGAGAAAAATCTTTTCAAACTGTTACTAATTATTATTGAGATTTAAAAGAGGAAGGAATGTATTAAAATTATCAAAATCCAGTTTGTCTAGGAGACTGAAATTGCTTATCTTCCAATAAACTGGTTTTATGTGATTTTAATTTTTTCGTAGCTCTTATATTTTCAATTATGATTGATGAGATTACTAAAACGTTTCTTTTTCTAACTTTAATATTTATTTGAAACCATTAATAAGCATAGCGTTTTTACTTAAATCTTTTATAATAAGAGCGGCCATTACGGAACACCCTGCATATTTAAATATTCTTTTCTTTTCTACTAGCATATAAAATTCGTTTCAAATATTATTATTCTTTTTTTACTTGCATATAACATCCACATAAAAGTATGTTTGGATCATAAGATGCACTGACAGTATTGTTATCTTAATTTAAAATTATTCAAAAATGCTGCTTTTATTATTTTAGAAAAACCGGAAACATCCAAGATGATTGGAAAACTATTTTTTCTCATCTTTATGTGTGGTAAGTACCCTTAGCTAAAAAAATTCTGCGTCCCTTTGTCTCCTTGGCGGAAAAAAAATATTATTTCAGATGCTCGAGAATTTTTTGTTGTTGTTGCTATAATTCCTAATAAATTTCTAAAAATTTTTTTACGACTGCGAGTCGTAAAAAAATTTTAATTTATCACAGAATTAAATTTAAAAGAGAAAAAAAATCTTGTCACTAAGTTTCTGATTTAGAGAAGATTCAAAATTATACGTAACAAGTAATATTTGTAATGCTTGTTATTTTGCTTTTTAATATTAAAAAAACCTGATAAAGTTTGACATTAATATTTAATGTTCCTTCAAACATAAAAAGAGTCCGATATAAAATTTTGATAAAGTTGTGGCCCTCCATTTGACTGGTGTTCTTAATTGCGGCCCCCGGCCTCATGCTAGTAGGAGACCCATGATTTAGACCAAGAGCAAAAATTCAATATTTGACCTATGATAGAGACTTGGTTAAAAAAAAAAAAAAAAAGCGCAGAGTATTTTCTTATATCAGGAAGTTCAAATATTAAGTAAAAGTAAACTGTTTTTTTTTTTTAGACTAATAACGATTTTTTAGAAAAGGAATCAATTTGCTTCTTGTTATATATTTCATAGTTAACAATATTATGAACTAACATAAGTAATCCTATGACTTTTTTTTTTATATATATATATATTATGTAATAAATCCTCGAAATCTAGAATATGTGATAAACTTGGATAATTAAAAAAAGGAAGTATTTAAGCATAGTATATTTTGCTTGTTACTGAATGTTTAAAATTTTCAATGAATTATGCTAATCAAATTACAGAAAAATAAAATCAATAAGATTTTAAATATTTCCATAGTTAGATAAATTTAGTATATTAAGGGTCCCTTTTAAAAGTAACTGTTTGGGTTTCTCTATTCCAAGTTTGGCCCTGGGGTGGAAAAATTTGGTAGCTTTTATTATCTTATACAGGAAACAGCTACTTATTTATAAGCATTGAAATAAAACAACCATAGATGGTTTGGGATTAGGTTTTAAAATGTATGCAAGGTGTACAATTGGTGATTAAAGTTTTTAAACGTATAAATTAACTTAAATCTAAGTAAATGTTTAAAAACTTATCTTTAAGCCACACACAGTATTAAAATAAGTGATCCAAACCTTTACTAAAACTTGACACTTAATGGCATGAAAACCAACAACCCTCAAAACAGTATAGCTAAAATAAGGGTAGTAAATTTAACCTGAATAAGTGAGCTAAGATGATTTTACTTAAGAGTGTAAATAATTTATAATGAAAATTTCAAATTTAATAACTAAAACTATTCATTATGGGAAAAATTAAAGTTTCCAGTTTTGATATTTAAAAAATCTTTCCAGAGTTTTGATCATTCCAGTCCCAGACTAATATTGTTTCTGAAATATCAAGGAAACTCAAAAAGAAATGATTGATTTTCTTTCAAAACGAGATTCTAGAATTATTAAGTTTGTTTTATTTTAACTTAAATAAAATAGGTTTAGGCTAGAAATGACCACAGGCTACCAATTATATATGGATACTTATTAAAAAGATTATATTTGTAAAATCAAAATTCCCAATATATATATATATATATATATATATATATTTAAAAGACGCGTCATGTTTCTTCAAGTCAAAAACATACACAAATTGTCTAACTCGTGAAAGAACAAATTAAAATACATTTTAAAGATGACAATTCAATTTTTTTTTTCTGTTCAAATTTATAGGTATAGGATTGTCCAGCCAAGATGCCAACGCATATATGGATGCAGTCATTAAAGACAATTTGCATACAGCCGTGTTCAAAGCTGGACTTGACCCGTCTTTTATATCTGATTTCGGAACTAAATTTGGAGTTCAAGACATCTATGGAAATATAGGAGAAGCAATATTTAATCGTGGTAATCTTACAGGATTAGACAAAGCAAGGCGAAAAGGCGATTGCACAAAGCCAACACCGTCTGGATCAACAATGTTAATCAACTGCACCATTAGTTTAACCCAGTTAATTACTGAATATAAAGTCCTCATAAGGAATGGAACCCATATTTATTTACCCCGAAACATGGGACATGTTTCTGAAACTGTTGTTTCTTTGGAAATTGCGGGACTGCATCCCTTCTACCGTGGCTCCCTGAAGAAGTTGAAAGTTGATAAGGTTGGACTAATCACTCCAACTTTTTCTGGACTGCCAGCTACTCTCAACAAATACTTAAAAGTTCTGCAAGACGCTTATCGAACACACGTATCGGCTCAAATATATAATGTCCTACAAAACAATTATGCCCTGGCCTTAGATGCTGCATTTAGGAATGTGTCCATGGCTGCACATCATTAAAACTAAATTCTGTGACGAAAGAACATATTACTGCTGCAAACAAATAAATATTTAAAAATTATACTAAACTGCGTCAAGTTCCTTTTTCTCTAGTTATTGCAACAAGCCTGTTCCCAGACGAGGAAAAATAATTTCTGTCAATGGCTGAACATTATTAAATTCTGTAAAGAAAGAGCATATTACTGCTGCAAACAAATATTTAAAAATTATACTAAACTGCTTCAAATTCCTTTTTTCTAGTAATTGCATAATTAACAAGCCTGTTTCCAGACGAGGAAAAATAATTTCAGTCAATGGCTAAACATTATTAAATTCTGTAAAGAAAGAGCATATTACGAACATAATACATATTACGGAAACATAATACATATTACGGATGCAAATACTTAAAAATTCATAGTAAACTGTATCATGTTACTTTTTTTTATTTATTAAGAAGACTGTTCTCTGACCAGGCAAAATAATTTCAACTAGTAGCTGCACATTAAATTTTGTAAAAAAAAATCGAACATTCTACTGATACAAACAAATAAATATTTAAAAATTTAAAGCAAACAGTGTAAAGTTACTTTTTTCTATTCATTGTATAATTAACAAACCCGTTCTCTGACAAGGCAAAATAACTTCAGTGAGAGCTATGTTGAAATAACGTAACATAAGAGAATTTTATACAGGTGAAATTACTCTGACAAGTTATAATTTCATTATCTGTTCAGAGAAAAAATCTGTTATTATTAATTTTTTTTTCAGTGGTGAATATCTGATTCAATAGTTTGTTGTGCAGATAATTTTACCTATGGCATTTAGAGCTTTAGAAAGCATTAAAAAATAATGACAAAACTTAACATATTTTACTTATTACCAATTAAATATATTTTTGATACATCTATTAAATTTAGAATTCTAAAATTATATATTGAGAGTACAAATTAGTTCGGTCTGTTTTTAAGAGATGGTTCTGCTGTTATGAATGTTTCATAGTGAAAGCTGGTTTCAGAGGTTAAACTTCTGTCAATAATATTCTGTTTATATCGCTTTGAGTTTCATACAAAAACCCTGTTTTTTACTTTGTTGAGTATGTCAAGTTTTGTGGTAACGAAGCACCATTTGCGAGGAGGTTTTATGTTTCTGCTTTAATTGGAAGAAAAGTGCAGCTGAAGCACATCGAATTCTTGTAGAAGTTTATGGTGACAATACTCAACTGATAAATCATGTAGGGAATGGTTTCGACGTGTCAAGAATGGTGAATAATTTTGTATACTATGAGCTGCTACAACCTGGTGATTCCATTACGGGTATAGGCAACAATTGATTCGTTTGAGCAGTGCATTACGAGAAAAACGGCCGGGATACGAGCAAAGACATGACAAAGTTATTCTTCTGTCTAATAACGGTCGGCCTGATGTCGCAAAAAATTAATTAGGAAACGCTCAAGTGGGATATTTTACCGCACCCGCTGTAATTGCTGGACATTGCTCCGTCTGATTACTGCTTGTTCCGACGGATGCAGCACGATTTGGCAGGTCAGTTCACTTCTTTCGCAGAAATCGAAAATTGGCTCCTAACTTGGATCGCCTCAAAAGACGAGACATAATATTATTATTATAAATAATATGTAGATTCTAATGCCTTAGGAAATAAAAAAAGCATTTAATAGAAAATAATATTGGATAAGTTTTATATTATTAATCATATCGAATTAAAAGTTTCATTGCCTAATAATAGATTTAAACAAAACAGTTAAAATGTGTGCCATCATTAATAATCACTTAATATCCCCGAAATTCATAGTGAATTTTTAGAGACAGGTTTTTCTAATCCCTTGAGAAATCTAGTCTTATGAGATGCAAGAAAAAAAGTAAATTACGAGACAGAAGAGCATTTAAGATTAATATAGTATCTTATACACATAAATCAATCAAACATAGTGGGAGAAAGGTATATTAGTGGCAGTTTTACTAACTATTGTTTCATACTAACTGCTCAGTGACTATTTTTTTTAATCTCTAGTATTTATCTTTTTTACTCTACACACATTACATAGATTTAAAAGGGGGAGAGAACTAAACCTATTAGTATTTTAAGCGTTTTGTGCCCGAAGTGTCTTTTCAAACATAACGGATAATCATAACAATTTTCATTTTCCAAATAATATTAGTTCAAAAAGTTAAGATTTTTATTATTTAATTATCTCTAAAAATTAAAAAAAAAATGGCACCTTGCAGTCAGTAAAAGAGCCGTTAACAAGAACAATGTTTTTGAAGCTGATCTGTTGAAAAACATAAATCACGGACATTCATATATCATTTCATTAAAAATAGGAGATGGAAATTGACGATTAACTAATTTTATTTCAATAGTCACCACGAAAAATTTTCAACTTGATTTTTGCTTAATTAACTACACAGGATTCTGTAATTGATCTTTTAGAATCAGTCTATAAAAATAAACGTCACAAGTTTGTACAAAACTGTATAGTTGAGAAGAATTACTTTAAAATCTAACTCTTAATTATAACTACTGTTTATACATTTTGTTTTTATCAATATCTTTTGCTTGAATTATTATTGTAATTTAAAAATCAATTATAATGTAATAACTAAAAAATACATGAACAAAAATGACATTTATATTTAAATACTATTTTAAGATACTGAAGAATAAGTAAGCCCATCTGAACTTGGCTGAGGATTATTTTGTAGTGAATCAAGACCAGTTGAATCAGACCAGCAATGATTTCAAATGATGTATGAGTTCCAAAGAATAAATGCTTAAATCAACAAATCAAGTTTTATTGATATATAATATACAATTTTTATAAGTATTATAATTTAACCACAAAAGGTTAGTCAAAGAGAAATTAATAGAACAAAAGTATTCAAAAATACATCTTAAAAGTATGATAATAACTGTTGAAGTAAATAAAATGCATGTGACAATTATGAATGAAAACATAATACAAATGCATTGAATGGTATAGTAATTTTACTCTAAAGCTACTATAGACATACTTGATTCCCCACCAAATATTTTTAGAGCTTCAACAACTATGTCATCAGTTGACGTTTTGCCCTCTTTAATAAGAGCCATTATCTGGTCTTCCAAGCAAAAGTCTAATAAAATAAGAATGTTTTTGCGCAGACATTCTAAATCCGTAGTCTTTTCATCCTTTAAAACAGGCGTTTGCTCCATAGTTTGCAAAACATTTATAAGAACTTCATCAACTAAGAGTTCTCCATATCCTAACTGTTGCATCAAATCAGGATCAGCAACCAGGATAGAAAGTAACTGAGAAAAGTTCTTTCTTAAACCATCAATATCATCAGCCTTTTTACTTGGCAAAGAGTCAGATGGTGCATTGACAGGAACTAATGAAACGTCTTTATTGTTAACTAAAGAGTCAATTTGTGCATTAGGCAGCATGTCCGAAACACTGTCAGACGCTTGGGTACTTTTTAGTACCTCGGGGGCCGGAACTGAAGTATTTTCAGAAACCGTGTCATTAGTGTCCATCTTTTCATCTTGAATAGAAGACTCATTGAGAACCATGACCTCTGAACTACCCTGTTCCGTTGATATAGAATCTTTCTGGTGAAACTCTAAATGCTCGGTTAAATCTTGAGCATTGTTAAATGCCAAGTCACAGTTAAGACAACTTGAAACAATCCCATTTTCCTCTAAAGCAGCTTTAAACTCAGGAGTGTAATTCTCAAGTCTAGAATTACTGTAAGAGAATTTAGTGCATGTCTTTTCATGCTCACTAAGTGTGTCCGTAGCAAAGAAAATGAAATTGCAAGTGGTACAGTGAATTACAAAATCTCCTCCTAAGACCAGGGTGTTTTCATCATTTATGGAAATTTCATTTTCATCATTTATGGTAATTTCATTTTCTTCATTCGCAGGAATTTCTGTTTCTTCCTTGTCTAGGAAAGTTTGTTTTTCATCTTTCACAATAATTTCTTTTTCATCATCCACCAGAATTTCTTTTTCCTCATTCTGAAGAATTTCCCTTTCTTTATCATCGAGAATTTCATTTTTGTTATGCACAAGATTTTCTTTTTCTTCACGAAGACCATGGATGGAAATCATATGCTCAACAAACTTTTGTGATGTCGAAAACAAAAAATCACACTTCAGGCAAGCTGCAACTGCCTTTTTAAGTTTTATAGAAGTTTTGAAGCCAATAACATTCGCAGAAGGTTCTAAATGACTTCTTTTGCACTTAGAACAGAGTTCATCATGAACATTTTTAATAGATTTGTTAAAAATGCTACAGCATTGATGACACAGCATGATTTCCACACTAACATTCTCCCTTGTTTCAGATTTATTAATTTTTGAACTTGACAAGGCACTACTTGATTTCGAAGGTTCCGTAATAACCACCTCACTAGACTTATTTAATAATGGATTATTTTTCATTCTACAAAATCTGCGAACATGCAAATTATAATGGGTTTGATCTGTAAACCCAATTTTACATGAATCACAAGTAAAAAGATGCTTTTTCACACCCCCAATAACAACTTCTTGGTGTGTTTCTCGAGTCTGTTTACCAAATGACTTTTTCGCCACATGTTGGCTACTTGATCTACCACTCATTGCAGAATTACTTTTCGAAACAGCAGGAGTCTTTTTTTCCTTTGATGAAGACTCAATTTGAAGATGCCAAAATAAATGAATTTGCACCTTAGAATGGCTATCAGATACATCACCACATATTTCACAAGTGTATGTGTTATCTTCATTGATTTCCATGTACTTTTCCTTCTCTCCAAAATGGCTCAATCGATGAGGAACAAAATCCTTTAAGGTAGTAAACTCTTCATAACACTCTGAACAAGAAATATTTTGTGGTGTTGCGACTGATTTAGGCAATACTGGGGAAGGAGAGGGAGGAAGGTTAGATAAAGATTCATGCACAGCATCCAAATTCTTTACCAAAGTGTCGCAGTGTTCCTTTGATTGTTCATGTCTTCTAAGAAGTTGCAATTTCGGGAACGTTAAACTGCAAATATCACAAAAATAACCCTGATCCTTCTCTTGTGACTCCTTTCTCTGAGCAGTTTCAAATGCTCTCGAGTTTTGTTGATTAAAAGATTTAATTGCACTTTGCTGTTTATTCTTAGGATCATGAGCAGGATGCAGCTTTTTAACATGTGCAACCACATGAGACACTGACGGAAATTTGTCCTTACACACAAAGCACTCATACTTAAACTGATCATAATGAAATTTTTTCATATGGTCATCAACAAGTTCTTCATGGCTACATTTGATAGGACAGAACTGGCAGGCTATATCAGAATTCAGATGAATTTCTTCAAAATGATTATTACGTAGAGTTGGTGACGAAAACTCTTCAGCACAAACAGGACATTCATTAGGATACTGCTTGAGCTGTTGCTTTATAGCTAAAGGTAAAGAAACATATTTCGAACCATCGTTTATCAGAATATCAGTAGAATCTGTAACAATTGTAGAATTTTGTTTTTTAGAATGTTCAATCTTTAAATGTTGCAATTTCAAAGCTTCTGACACAAATACTTGAGAACAAAGATCACATGTTGTACTCTTCAAAAATGCTTCAATTTTTTGGTCTGTCTGATCAGCATGGTTACGTAGATGAGCATTACGAGCACGGACACTGAAAAACTCTTTATGACAAAATGGGCATTTGCAACTAAGATTAATGGTTTTAGTAGCTTTTCCCCAGTGATGATACTTTTTCTGATGATGGTAAAAAGTGAATGGATCTGGAAATTTTTCATGACATACAGGACACTGATTTGCAGTTTTTACTGAACTTTGTTTAACACTAAGCCATTTAAACTGCTGTTTATGAATTGAATTCGATAAACTTTTTCTAGCTGATGCCCCAAAATTAGGTGATGATCTGTTTAACTGGTGTGAATTACGATATGAACGTGAGAATGATTTTCGAGCAACAACGTGGCGGACAGATTTTCTAGCTTTAGCAAATTTCTTTTGAAAAAAATCTTGTTCAAAATGAGCTAAAGCACATTTGTAATTCGAATCCAAATGTTTTAAAAGAATCACTTTGGCAGGGTATGTTTTCTTGCAACGTATACACGAGTATCCACGGCTAGATTTTAAAAACTTTCTATTACGCTCAACAATATCAGATAACAGATCGTCTGAAACTAAGGAACTGTCACTATCAGTCGAATCACTCGAATATTTACGTTTCTTGTACTGAGATGGAGTTCTCTGAAAAGATTTTCTCGCAGAAGCAGATTTCTTTTCCAATTCTATTTGTGGACCGCAATTTCCTTTTTCTTCATGCTCAGCATAAAGTGTCCTTGAGTTAAAAAATTTCATACAAATAGGGCACACAATAGTTGAAGGCTTGTTATCCTTAGATGTTTCATTTGTAATAAAGCCATTTGTTAATTTATTCTTTTTCTTCTTTGATAATAGTCTAGAAATTTTCTTAGTTCGCTTTACACAGGTCTTTAGATGTTGTCTTCGAATGAAAGGGAAAATGAACTTGCGTTTGCAATAGCCACATTTCTGGGGGGATCCTTGTAGTTTACCTTGACACCTGTGCTTATGTCGATATAAGACACGTAAAGAAAATGTCACAAATCCACAGCTATTGCATTTTCGTTCAGAACTTGCAATCTTCTTAAAATCCATACTATGGCTCAGCTTTATACTTTTTAATTTTGTTCCTAAAACAATAAAAAATGTAATTAATATAGTTTAAAAAATATGAAATGAAGATGTTAGAAAAAATGATCTATTTATTGGGTATTGGTTAAAAACAGTAAATAGTACTCCATTTTAAATTATTTTTTTTTTAAATATCATTTTTCTATAAATTTGTAACTTATTTATATTCATGTTTTTATATTTCTATAAGATGAATTTTCAATGAAATATAATCAATCAATAATTATTTATAACAATCTAAATTTACTTTAGTAAAAATGCATATACATATATATTTTTAATATATATGTACTTTAAAAGACCTAAAAAAAAAATCACTAATGCCTCAAAAAGGGGAGAGGGGCAACTTTTTTTTTTAATCAAAACATGGATAGCTTTACAATTTAATGCTAAATATTAATGATTATATTTTTTCAATAATAAAGTAAATTGTGACAGACATTCAACAATTCCAAAAAAACTATAAGTTAAGAATGCACAACTTCAGGAGCAACTCAACGAAAAAATATAAAATAAAATTTCCTTTAAAAAATAAGAAATGTGAAAAACATTGAACCATAAATTCTAGTTATTTTTCAATCACTTTCAGGCAGTTATTGCTATATATTTCCACATGTTCTAGATATGGCTGTAATTTGTAACATGTCCCAATAGTTTGGACAGAAGAGCAAACCTCTTAAAGCTAATTTTACTTCTTGCGTATTTTGTTATATCTCTAGAAGTTTTTAAGGGAATTGAATTTTTATACGTATTTATAAAGTTCGTTTACCTAAAGATGCAAAAAATAACTTTTAATAATAATTTTTTTTATTTTTCATTATTTTATAAATTCTCTTTAATTGTAGGGTATGCAAATTTTTACATAATATAAAAGATGTAATTTTATAACGCAAAATAAAAGACTTGATCAAAATCGATCAAATTGCTTCTGAGTTATCAAATTCTGAGCCCAAAGCTGACTTGATAAAACTTTTCTTAATTTTATTACTTTTAAACAAGCATTTTGTTCAGGTATTAAGTCTAAAAAATTTAAAACTTACAAGGTATAATTTTAATTCTTTTATGCAGGTTAGTAATAAAAATTTTAAGCATAATTCACTAAATAATCACTAAAAATGTCAGATTTCGTTGTTTAGACATCAAAGGTCTATTGGTGAGGTCGCAAAATTTAACCTTTGTTTAAAGTTTATTCCAGGTAGGATGGGCTTCACTAAGTAAACTTATGTATCTAAGGTTCAGATTAAAAATCTTTTAGTTCGTACCTCGGAAATAGGGACTAAACTCATTTCTAACGGCAGACCGTTATTTTGTGAGTCATAAATCTGAATTCATGGGGGGGGATGTATGTTTATACAGAAAAAGTAAACCAAGTCTTTTTTTTAAACTTCAAGTATCGCCTTACATAATAAATTTGTACACTTAAAATCCCCCTTTAAACCCTACAAAGTAAAGATCTGATCACTAGATCAAAAGTTAACCTGATGTTGATTGATTGACTCTTGAAACATAAAGCTTCGATCATTAGATCCGAAGTTATTAATGTGATAATTTTTTTTAGCTACACTGAATCAAAATTACGTGGCATCAACGCCTGGGCAAAACCTAATTTCACAAACGCTGTAGTTCAGTCTTTACTAACATTATAATTTCTAAATCAGCTTAAGGAAACAGATTCCTGACCAATTAATAATGCTTCAATTTTTTTTTTTATATCCCACTAACTTGCAGATTTTGTATTTAACATTAAATTATTTGGAAAATAATAAAGCATCAATACATGTCGGCTACTCAATACTCTGTTCAAGAAGAATTGATGGCAGAAGTACGCACAAAGGTTAGCTGCTTATCTTTATCAATTTCTGACAGTTCTTTTCTAAGTTAGCGATTGTTCTCATATTCAGCACCAGTCAGATTAGTGCTATTTGTTTAATTTAAATATCAGTTCTCACTGAATACAGAGTAGTACAAAATCAATTACAGTTAGAGTTTTTTTTTTTAAAATTTGAAGTAAAAATAAAAAATATTCATGTTGCATCATATTTATTTGGTATAGGAGGACAAAGGAAGGACCACAAGAATATTTTTATTTTCAACTTTTTACCAGAGGAATCACCCGGATAATACACTGACTTAGCAACTGTAACATTTACTTTGTAACAAATAAAAAAATTTAAATAATTTGAAAGTGTGTTTCGCAACATTATAAAATTTTTTGTTTTTTTATTGAGATGCTTTTCTGTTAGGTTTATCAAAACATCATTATTTACTTATTAAACTCTCAAACAGAATATCTCTCTACCTGGAAATTTAATATTGTTTAAACATTGTGATTCAGAATATTATTCATATTTTAAATTTAAGTAGTATTTCGCTAATTTAAATACAGCTTAACATTACAGAAAATCTTTTTTGAAAATAACCACTCAGAAGGTCATTTTTAAAAATTCTGTAATTATTTGTTAATTGAATTAAAAACATTTTAAATAAACTGTGCAAAGGAATAATTTTAAAATTTGTGTTAACAAATTTCTATCATATAAAATTTGCTTACATTTTCTAAAAGTTGTAAATAACTATATGACCTCCAATTTAAACTCACAAAAAAAATTTTTTTGGAAAATTTTATTGAATTTTTTTTATTTTATATTATTCAAAAGTGTTAAAAATTCTGAAACAAATTTGGAGTGAATAGATGGGATCAATCGCTTATGTAAAATTTTTGGCTGGTTCCCTACACGCCATTTTAGAATAATTAATCAAGCTTTATCATTGAAATTAGGTTTTAAAAAAAATGCACCTGCTTGGTTAGATACAAAATTAAATGGGATACAAGATTAAAAAAATCTGATTTTATTTTAAAATCATGATTTTTGCCGGCCCTGTTTCAATGGAGCACAAATTTCAAGAATAGTTTTTCTTTCATTTTAATTATTGTATATGTAGCTATGTTATCTGGAAAAAAAATCTTAAATGTATTAAAAAAATTTTAAATTAAAAGATGAAATTTATTATTTGTTTAAATTTATTGTTTTTCTTGGCACATCTATTTTGATTTTGAGATATATCATTTACATGCAAAAGCTATTAATTATATAAATATTAGCTAGAAAAATATTTTCAAATAGGGAAATGAAAAGATCAAGAAGAATATATTGTCCCAAGAATAATCTCTTAATCATTAATACCAAAAATCTTACAACACTTTTTGATAAATAATATGCTTTCAGAAAACTGCAAAAATGATAGCCGAGCTGTTATAATTTTAAACTACCTAACGGAACTAACGTATCGTAAAAAGAATAAAATTTTCAAACAAGGAATATAGATTTCAATAAAACATATCAATTTTTATAATTAATTACAGCTGAGTTTAATTACTCAAAGCTACCCTTAGATAAAGAGATTTTAAAATTTTGTATGAAACAAAAATAAAAAGTGTGAAAATAGCAATGTTTTTTTTAAAAAAAAAACTTCTGACACTATATTAAATATAAGTTATTTTTATAACACTTTTCACAGGGTGATACATTCGTTTTAGCACCTGCAACAAAATAGATGGTACACTTTGGAGGAAATCAGATCTGGAAAGAACTCAGATTCGGAAGAAACTATAAGTAATAAAAAACTCTACGAAAGGTTTTATCTTAAGGTTTTGTAGTCACATGAAATAAAGCTTTTTTTACCAATAATATGCTACTTTCAAAACTAGTGTGAGATTGCAACAGTTGTAAGATCAAGTTTAGCCAGCATCCTGTCCATAAATTTTGAAAACTTTTTTTTTTGTGGTGAGAAACCAGTTTTAAGAAGAAAAAAAAGAGGATTTGAGGACTAATTTTTTAATATTTAAAAACTTACAACAATGCTGCATAATTGAGCCCATAAAAATTTAAAAAAAATAAATAAAAATAAGGCATTTGACATTGATAGTTTTTATCTGGGTGGAAAATTTTTACCAAATTGGCAATTTTTGAATACTAAAAACCAGATTATTCTTTACGGCAAGATGGCTTAAAATTATAGCTTTGCTTCAAGAAGATTTAAACCGTGGTTTTATTTTTCTTGGTGAAAGAGCTTCGAAAAATCATAACTTCCATATTAGTACTTATTGATGCCAACACAGCAAATTGTAATTTCAATCAAAAATATGCTTGCTCAGAATTATACCTTTCGAATGTGTGTGATACTTTCTTTTAAAAATAATCACGTGCCCCTATCAGATTACTGTCAAAATTGGGCTATTTTTAGGTGTCGGTATAACAGAAATTTAACCAACATTATAGAAGGAGACAAATCTGTTTTGGCTCTTTCGCAAACAACTGAGCATGTACATTTTCATCAGCACAAAAACTCTTTGGTACCTTAGTGAAGGCAGTTCACATGAACAGGTACCGATATGAAAATATGCCTGAAATAATTGCTAAAACATTCACAAGTTGTTTGATTTTCTGGAATATGCGTATTTGTGTCTGTCATCATAATTATGATAGTAAAATATAATTTAAATACTTTAAATGTTATTGTTTCAGGAAGATGCTAGAAATTCACTTGTTATTTACTCTAGTGATGTGATCTCACCACAATTAATCTTAATTGTGATGAATGGAAAGATCTCCACATTAATATCTGTGCTAATATAATCACTAAGTTTTAGCAACTTACAATCAGTAGCACATGAGAAGATGCTACGTAGCTATCCATATTGTGTGATCTGCGATAGAATTATCGCCAAGGTGGAAAAGATTTTAAACTTTTAGAAAATACATGTTGAAGTTTGCCTGAGGGTGACGAGTTTGTCCCTTTCCATGATATTTTTTTAGTTTCTTCCCTTCTACTGCTTGGCTGTCTTAAAAACTTGGCAATTATTTTGGTAGATACTGACATAGAAAAATCTCCTGGCAATCATACTAATGATATGGAAATATCTTCACAGTTTAACTGTGTTAATAGGTGTTTAAATCGGGGATATTTTTGTATTGCCAAGGTGCCAAATAGATTTTAAACTTGCAAATTAAAAAAAAAAAAAACATGTAGATGCTTGTACAATGGTGGCTAAGAGTTATACATTTTGAGTTGGTCCCTTACTGTGATGTTTTTTTTAAGTTTCTCGCGGGCTACTGTCCGGAAGTTGCCAAGATTTGGCAATTATTGTACCAAAGATCAGGATGTGGAAATCACCCCTTTCAACTTGCGAATTTGTAAAAAAACAACATGTAGATGTTTGCCCGTGGGTGAGTTACACATTTCGATTTGGTCTCTTTCTGTGATGTTTTTCTTCAGTTTTTAGCGGGCCGCTGCCCGGATGTTACCAAGACTTGGCGATTATTCTCACTCATACATTACCTAATAGCAGGATAGAACAATTTCACTAAAAACTATACAAATAAAGAGCTTTCAGAGGTTTGGTAAAAAAAAAGGAAAGTACATTACGCAATAAAACTCATCTAACTATCTTTAAATTTATTAAACTGCAATATGACCATTCATGAAAGAAAAAAAAACTGCTTGTTTAAAGAATTAAACTTAGATTACTTTCATTATGTTGCATCTAATGTATCACATACAGATTATAGTAGTAATGTGACTTCTTACATTGTTCGGTATTTAACCTTTAACATACAATGTGAGAATATAACGAATCCACGATATTTAAGAACGCCGAAAACATTCAAATACATTAAAATAACAAATTATTACAGATATAATAAGAAGGTATGTGAATTATATTTCATACAAAGATGGAATAAGAACCCATTTAAAGTTTTTTTTATGGTAAAATCTAAACATCGGCAGATTTTATATCATAAACTTACAGCAGACGAGAAAACAGATGCAAGAAGCCACTTTGGAAGCTTTACATCGCATTTAGTAGACTTGTATAATGTATTCTCATCTTAAACAAATCACACTAAACTAATAAAAGTACGGATTTGCGATTACAAAACTTCAAATTTCCGCCACTTCAATAAAAACAGTGAGAAAATTAATAAACAATTTCTTCAACTTTTCAATTTTGGTTCATCAACAAATTCATTTCAGTTAAAAAAATACCCCTCAACTCCACCTTAGACAAGGGACATTTCATGGATTTCCGCCCAAGGAGAATGATACCAGTTACCAAAGAGTGATATTTAGAGAATATCTGTTATTAAAATCGATTGCATGTTAAAAATATGCATTTTTCTGTTGATTTCTGACAATAGAAGTGTACTGATCTCGCCATTAAATCAATATAATATCCCGTAATATTTTCATAGATAATTACAAAACATAAAACCTTATTATTAAGCATTTGCTTATACGTTAATATTCGTACTTGTGATTTTTGTACCTGTGATTTAATAACTACCAACTAAAGATAATCTTAATCAGTATCGTAGCTAGTGACGTAATCATAGTAAATTTTCGTGTTCAAATGCGGCAGACATTTAGGGAATCACATCGGGGTAGTGTCAGTTTTGTTTAAGCTTTGCACAATTTGATGTGTAAACAACTTCTCTAAACTCACAATGAGAAGTAAACTAAACTATTGAAAATGTTTCGCTGTATTCCATTATTTCGAGGTTGCAATCGCCAAGTTGAATGCATCGACAAGAGACACTGTAGTTTGGCAAACGTACCTGATGATGTTTTACGTTATCCCAGGACATTAGAAGAGCTCTTGCTAGATTCAAACCACATTCGAGATCTACCAAAGGTTATTGCTATTATTATGTATTTAAACTGAAGATTATTGTGTATCAAAATTTTTGGTATATTAAGGATTGCAAAGCCGACGCCCACTTTGTTTACAATTTGTCGTGACTAAGCCTAAAGGGTTATATGTTATTTGACAAGACGTGACGGGCCCAGCATGAATCGTGATCCAATTTTATATCCTAAGAGCGGTTTAAAAAAAAGAGATTTCTGTCCCGTCGTGATCTTAATTTGATTGTTTCTTTTAGATTTTTGTTATTTTTTGTATAGTTGAAATGATTTAACTAGTTACAACATTTTTATCCATTTAAACTATTGGATCTCTTTTGTAAACAACATTAATTCTTAGACTAATAATTTATTTTTGACTCTGTAAAAATATGCTATACATTTTCATTCTTATCTGATAACATTCTTATCTGTTGAATACAATTAGTGCTTTATATCTTTATTATTATTATAGTGATTTGACAATGGGGTAGTTAGCAATTTTTGATTGTTTTCACTATATATTTAATCTGTTAAAAGCCGTGAAATTGTGTTTAAGTACAATTTTAATATAAAAGTTTTATTACTTGTTAATTTGTATGTTGTAGGTATTTAATACCCAATATTTACTGTTTCATTTATAAACTAGGATATGTTGAAAAGAAAATATCTTGAAAGAAAAACCTTTAGTTGCGTAACTAATCTTTAAACTACACCATTCTACACTGAACCATCCTTTCTCGATAGGAATGGCGTTGTAACCTTGATCACTGGAAAATTAGAGGTGATGAAATCGTCTAACTCCAAAAAATTTGACAATTTTCATTATTCTACTACTCATTAGCCCATTTTGCAGCTCCAATGTGGCTTAAATAAAGTACAACGTTTAATTTTATTATCAGATTTTACAGCTGACAATTGAACATTCGGGATGCTCTAGGCATCATATTGAAAATATAAGGGAGTTTTGAATTTTTTTGAAAAATTTCATAATATCCTGAAGCAAAGTCTAACTAGAGTCTGGTTGAAGCTGTGTTTCAGTGAATGTGTCAATGAATATAAGACCATGTTTTTGTAAAGGAAAAAAATTATAGTTGATACCTCTCTGAAGCGACCACTCTCTTTTCCACAATAAAATTGTCATTAATGGAGGTTTGTTGTTCGTAGGGATTACCTCTATTGACTTAAATGTTGTCAAAGGTACATGATTTTTCGCAAACTGTTTTAATTTTGGTCAGTATAATTTTCTTGGTGTGGAAATGTCACTGTTGAAATTGAGAAAAACTGATCAATTAATGGAACTTACAAGGGAAACTAGGGAAGTGTGACTCGCCAATTTTGAAATAAACTAATGGGATGTATACCTTATGAGGAATAATTTTAGGGGGCAGCATTCGTTTTGGCCCATAGAAGGTCCTATGAGAGATAAAAAATAATTCAATATATGGAAAAATCACTATTTCATTACTTCAATGCAGACTATTAGTTATTGTAATTGTCTCATACTCCAATTAATTTGTAATTAATTGGATAATTATTTACTTTCACGTACTATATAATGCATATTAATTGTTAAAATTAATTTTGAAAATTTTATGTATCTGCAGTTTTTCAGAAAAACCTGTTAGGTTAATTTAAAAAAAAAAAATTGACATCAAATTTTTTAAATTTTTTTCTTCAAAAAACTTTCCAAATTAATTGGAGTGTGTAATTGCAAATCAATTAATTAATTAATAATTTCTGATTAATTTATTAATCAAAAAATAATTAATTATCCAATTAATTACAAATTAATTGGATTATGAGACAATTACGATAACAAATAGTCTGCATTATAGTAATAAAATACCGATTTTTCCATATATTGAATTATTTTTTATCTCTCACAGGACCTTCTATGGGCCGAAACGAATGTTGCCCCCTAAAATTGTTCCTCATAAGGCATGCATCCCACTAGTTTATTTCAAAATTGGCGAGTCACACTTCCCTAGTTTCCCTTGTTAGTGTCAATAAAAATTATCTCTACTGGTATAATTATGTGTAAGAACAAATTTACCAATTATAAATGGTAGAATTGTTTTTAATAAGCAGTTAAGTTTTTTGTTTGAGTTTGCATTTAATTTTATATCATGAAAATTAGTAAGCAATTCTGTTTACAAGCTAGGTAAATTATAGGTTATTACACAATAAGTTCTGGTCTTACAAAGCATAATAAATGAATTCATTCACTATTAAATATTTGTTTTTGAAAAAGAGATGTACTCACTTTTCGTTATTTTATTTCGATATTTTATTTTACATTTATAATCATACATTCAATGGAACATGATTTGTTGTTAAAGTAAGAGATAGAATTTTAAATAGGTTTCAAATAGGGTTATAGTGTCAAATAGGTTTAGAACTTGGAAATTTTCAAAAAAAAATACTTTTAGACATTTGCCTAGGCTTGGAGTTGTCCCCTTGTGTGATTTTTTTTAATAAGTTTATCGTAGGTCACTGCCCAGACTTGGCCATGTTTTGTCACTGGAAACCTATCAAGTCTGATTTTGTTTATTATTTATTTCCAAGTCTTATTAATTGGTTTGTTTCCTTTTCTAATCAATTGTATATGTATTATTCTATTAATTTACTCGTTTTTAAAATAATCTAAAATAAATTAATTAAAGAATCTCTACAAAATTAATATGTTGTCAAAACATAAAATGTCACTATGTAGGTGAGTACTTAAATATTATGATTAATGAAGTGACTTATTTATGTATTAACAGTGTGTTTTTATATTAAAAAATCAATTTTAGTAAAGCCAATGTGCATTAAAATATGAACTTGATTTACCATTGTATGCATTTCTCATTGAAAGTGGAATAAGTCCATTTAGGGCTAAAAATGTTATTTTTTTAAAATTTTATTTTTGATTTTAATAGTTATTGTTATAATTTAAAGCTTAATCATATTAATAGTTTATATTAACATTTGATGACTGATTTTTTTATAAGGCAATAAATTACTTAAGAAAAATATAATTGGTTACGGAACACTAAATTATTATTTTATAAATAGTTGATAGACAAGATATTTTTAAAATAGCCAGGATTGGAAGTCCTTAATTAGCTGCTTAATTTTTTTATGATGTTCCTGTATAGTTAAATTATTGTACTAAATTTATTTATTATTTTTTTCAGGGTTTGTTTCGTCTAATAAAATTGCGAAGATTGAGCTTGAGTGATAATGAAATCTGTTTATTGCCTTCTGATATTGCAAGCTTGGTAAATTTAGTTGAACTAGATATTAGTAAAAATGGTAAGTATTATCTTTATTTTTGTTTTTATCTAAAATATACATATCTTATCAAATGAGATTTATGAAATAGACTGTTTAGCATTCTCAAAAATATATATTTCAATTAAAGTTTCTTGATTAATGTGCATATCAAATAAATTTTGATTGTAATTATCTTACTAAGATTAATTTTGCTTTTTTCATTTGCAGATATTTCTGACATCCCTGAAAATATCAAGTTTTTAAAATCTTTGCAAAATGCTGACATTAGTAGCAATCCTCTAACAAAGTAAGAATTAAAATATGATGCATCTGTACCATGGTTTTGTAAAAACAGATAAAATTCTAATTTTTCTAATATTTAAATTATTTTGAGGATAATAAAATAGTACTATTTTTATAAAATTTGTTATTTATTTTTGTAATTATCAAATTCTTTTAAGCAATTTATATAATTTTTATTTTACTGATCTAGGCATGAATTTATGTAATATGCTTCTTAATGAAACAATTGAGAGATTTAAAAATCTTTTAAGTCACATTAATAATCACCTGACTTTTTTTTTAAAAACTTATTTTATCTGAGTATATGTAAGTATAAGTATATATTAGTATAAGTATATCTTATATTATTAGATTAATTTATTTAATTTATATTCATGTCTTATAATTATTTCTGACGCACATTGTTTCAAAGTAGAAAATGAAGCAGTGGCTCAACCAAGAGAATAGAGCTTTTTGACTCCATTTTGAATTATTTATTTAAACTTATAATTACTTAACTTATTGAAAGTTTAAACTCTTAAAAAAAACTATAATTTATTATGAAAATTGGTGATGATAAAAATGATTAAAATTTTTTCTCTAGATTGCAGTTAAAGAATTATAAAAGTATTCTTAATGTCTTTTTTATTCCACTCAACGTTGGATAGTTGCACGCTTCTTTCTTTCTCTTTAAATTCCTATTTTGTCATAAATTCAATTTTTGATGTTTTATGCTCATTTTTATGTGTGTTTAATTTTGAATAATAAAAATTCCTTCTATTAATTAAGGAAATATTGCGAGCTGCTTAAAAGGCTGGTGTTTTAAAGCAAATTGATTTATAATTCTTCTTCTACCTTGCAAATGAGGGGCCGTTCAAATATTACTTAAATGCATGAAAGGAAAAAAAAAATTTCTAATGTGTTGATAGGGGAATATAGTCTCAATCTAAGGTTTATTATTCAAAATTCTTTTTATTGTTGAAAATCTCTTTATAAATTTAAAAAAATTTTTAATTTGAGGGGAAAAAATTCAAGGATGTTATTCATTTTCTGTGGTTAAAAAAAATTTTTTTTTCAGGCTCTTTCAGGTACAAATAATTTCGAAGGGTAAGAATTGTAGTATTTTGTTCCTAGAACACAATTAGTCTAAAAAGAATAGCTTTCAAAAATGTTTATTTACAAAGAGAAACTTCCAAGGATTATTCTTATTTTCTGAAAATAAAAGATCTATAAATACTCTATTTAAATTATTGTAAGAAAGCTGTATTTTATAAAATAAAAAAAATGAATTAAAAATTTTATTCAACAGAATATTAAAGAAACTCTTAAATAATATTTGAACATCCCCTGACCTTTAAAGTTCTACATTAAATGTTGCTGTCTATGAAGGGGAAATGTGTTTAGTTATTAAAGTGTCATAATTTACTAATAAAAGACTTTGATTTCCTTAGAATATTTATTTATCTTTGCCTATGATAAAATGCAAAAGTTTAAATTTATTTTCTGATTAAGGTAATATTAGCTAGAAGATTTTAGTATTTTAATATGTATTTTTTTTATAAGAAATAAAATCATTGCAACTTTTGCATACATTAAGCTTGATTAATTACAAAACTAACACTTGCAATTTAAAAAATAGTTTTTACTACCTATTTACCGAAAAAGGGATTTTATTACTTATTCACTCTGCAGTCAAACTCTTACGATTATTTTTGTCTCAGCCAATTCTAAAAATACTTGATTAAAACATACTAGAATGTTGCTATATAGAGGTGTATTTCGTACATTGCTTAGGGGTGTAATTAATAGTAAGTATTTAGCTTGCTGAATAATTTTTTTTTATAAATTATATTTTTTTGTTGTATAAAAATACTTTTTTATACTTTTAATAAATTAAGTCTTTTTGAAGTATGTGAAAATATATATTATTATTTGCAAATGTATTAATAATTGAATAAATAAATATACATATGATCAATATCTGAAGAGAATTGAAGAAATGTTTAAATCTATTTTTACTCTAATTTTAATTCTTATATTAGTTTTTATTTATTTAATGGAAGCAAATGCATTGAGTTTTAAGTTGAAGTTGTTATTGAAGAATGAATATCAAATAACAATTTTTTTGTATTAAAAGAGTTGTCTATTTTATTTTGGCAAATAATGGATAATTTTTTTAATTCCCTTATTAAAATTGTTTATATCTTTTTTTTTTCCTTTCATAGATTGCCCGCTGGATTTGTACAGCTTAAAAATCTTACAGTTTTAGGGTTAAATGATATTTCTATTTCTCGGCTACCAAATGACTTTGGAAAGTAAGTAAAATGTAATTATTTCAAAAATATCATCTGTACCGGTATTATTCTTCGTAACTTCCATCTTTTCTCCTATTTGCAGCTTATCAAACCTTCAATCTCTTGAGCTTCGAGAAAATAGTATTCGAAATCTACCTCCCTCATTTTCTAATTTGACAAAACTAGAAAGGCTAGATTTGGGGAGTAATGAAATATCAGAATTAGTAAGTTATTCTTTTTATTGTGAAATGAGCAATTTAAATTGTTTTTTTTTTTTTTTTTTTCTAAGCAAATTTATTTATCTTTGATTTTTAAAATTTAATTTCTTTCTAATTTCATCCTAAATTTAATCTAGAAATATCTATTATATATTAATTTTTAGTTTGTATCAAAAATATGTTGTTAGCAAGCACTTTTGTTGATTTCTCTTATTTACCTTTTTTTATTTATTTATTACATGAGAAAATTATAAAATGATATTAAAAGTATAGAATTTGAATTTTTTTTTTCCTGGAACAAATTTACTTTTCTTCGATTTAAAAATTATTTTCTTTGTAACTTCATCGTAAATTTAGTCTAGAAATACCTATTATAGTATATTAATTTTTAGTTCGTAATGAAAATTTGAAAATGAAAGTAAGCATTTTTATTGAATTTTCTTATTTACCTTTTTTATTTATTTATTATACGAAAAAATAATAAAATATTATTAAAAGGTTGTGGCGTAATTACCACTGCAATTATAACATTCCCATTCACTAGTATATAAGACATTTTAACTGAATTCTATCTTGAGGTACCTTTTGATAGATGACGGTTGGCATTGTCTGTATTATTCTCCCCACATTGGTGACCCGGACATGATTTGAACACGCCTATCTCAACAGAGACGCCCGCCTCAATCTTAACACTCCCAGTTTGAGGGATGGAATACGGTGAACAGTTGACTTGCTATTCGAGGTTTTATTACTGATCTCCTCACTCTGTTACTACTCAGCCTCGATCACACACTGGAGTGCCTACAATTGTGATCTTAATACAGGTCTCCCTGCCTCTCGCAAAACTACAATGGATCAACTAGTGGTATTCGTTCACCAATTCTATCACTGATAAAATTTTGTAGTGTTAATTACCACAACAATTAAGTTTCTATTTTATTTTTAAGCAATTTTTTTTTTAATTTGTTTTAAAATATCTTTTTTTCCCTTCCTTACATTAGCCTGCTCTTATTGGTCAGCTTTCTAGTCTACAAGAACTTTGGCTGGATTGCAATGATCTTTACACCTTACCAATAGTTAGTATATTTGTTATTTGTGTTTATGTTTCGTAAAAATGTGTATGTAAAATATATTTTTTTAATTATTTACATCTGTTACATAATTTACTTGTAATTAAATAATTTCATGTAACACAATTCTCTTGTATTTCATGGAAAATTATTAGGTATAAAAAATTAGTGTGTTAAATAAAAATATTTTATACTATTCATGACTACTGTCGCTAAGGCATATTAAATAAATTTTCGAAAAGCGGTTACTTGTGATATTTCCAGTAATTGTTATTTGATGGCTCTTAAATCATTAAAGTTACAATCAGTGTAGAAATTCCGAGTATTTTTCCTTTTTATGCTCTTAGCTGGTACAGAAAACTTAGACATCAGTCTGAAATAGGTACATACTGTTTAATCAGGATTAAAATTACATGAAATCCTGACTATTGTTACTAAATAATCCCGCCCTCGCAAACATGGCTAAGTGCGTAGATGTGTGATAAAATGCTAATACCGTATGTCTGTATTATTAAAAGTTATCTAGATAAAAATTTATATAACACATAAAAGCAGAATGTCAATCATAATTTATTTATAATTGTCAAGAGGAACACTAAAAATAAACGTGTGTAAGTGTGTCCTTACCTACTGGTCACAAGTTTTTGCATGCTTGTAAAAGTATATGTTTGAGAATTGGTTTATCCTCAAAGTTAATTTTCGAATTTATCCAGTTACACTTCTGCTTTCTCACAACGTGTGTGAGAATATTTAATATGCTATTACTAAAAGAATACTATTCCAAATATTACTAATAATATTATAAGGATAATATTCCAAATATATCAAGTCTTCACTCTGATTATAATGCTAATATTTTTTTCTGTAATGTATATATTTGTAAATAAAATTAAGCATATTCATTTGAAACATAATTCTATAGTTTATGTTCTTTGCTCTGTAAGTTTGTAAGTTTAATTTGAATGGGAAAAAAATTGATGGGAAGAATCAAGTACAAATTATTATTTTTTAGATAAATATGTTCCAAGCCACAGGAGAAATAAATGCTATCTCTTTTAATCATTTATTCTTGTTTCAGGAAATTGAAAATTTGAAAAAATTAGCCTGTTTGGATGTTAGTGAAAATAAGCTGGAGTACTTACCTGAAGAAATTGGTGGCTTAGAAAATCTCACCGACTTGCATCTATCTCAAAATTATTTAGAATCTCTGCCGGATGGAATAGGAAAATTGTCCAAACTTACCATCTTCAAGGTCAGTAATGCATAGAAGTTAATTGGATATCTTAGCAATGTCTCTCTATTTTGGGAGTTGTCAAGATTTTTTTAACAACCACTGTTGTGTTATTATTTTTTTAAATATTTTTATTCATAAATTTTTTAGTCATGAATATATAAGTTCGCTTAAATGCATTTTTATAGTCTGTTAAAGATTAGTCTAAATACTTAATTTTCATTTTGCAAATTTAATAAAGTCAATGCATAGGAATGTTTTTATCATGTTCCTTTTCGCATTCTGGTGCTGCAGTCAATGAAGGTCTCTTATTTCGCTGGTAGAAAACTGGGGCTGTTAGCAGGGCTGATTGTGATCCGGAAAAAATCCGGATTTCCGTATTTTTCGCTAACCGTCATCCGGAAATTTCCGGAGATCGAAGGTTCAGACGTTTCAGAAAATCATTGATCACAAAAGCTTCCGGAAATCAAATTTTCAAAGGTGGAACTTAAAAACACAGTTTATTTTATTTGTTTGTAAGGGAGAGCCAGAGAGATACTTAATAAGCTTATATTCATGATTAATATTCATTTTTTATCAGTAAATAGTTGTTATAATCATAAACTCAAGAAAGAAAGACATATTTGTAAATATTAATTACTTCTCCAGGTCATCATAGGTATGTGTAAAATTTTAAATATATTTCAAGTAAATTAAGAAATATTGAGGAAAAGGAAAAAACCTTGCTTAAGTGTTTTTTTTTTTTTTTTTTCCGCAGTGGACTGATCGTTAAG